GCTATAGTTCTAAAGGATTTAGCAGACGAGAGTTATTCGTCAGACATCTTTCTCTTTAAACGACAAACATATTTAGCTACAGTTTTTCCAAACAATATTCGTTAGACGAGCGAAGAGTGGGTGAATCGGAGGAGGAGCATGCACAATACGCCGTGACATCCCTCCCCATTGATCGATCGAAATGCGAGTCGATAATTTAACAGCGCGCACATCCTGCTGTGTCCATTTAATGCTGCTTCCTGGGAATTTCCGGCTCGGACGAAAAAGCGGCGGGAGCGCCGATGCCACAGAGTGGTGCTGGAAGTGCTGGGAGCCACGGTCAACCGCAGGCCGGATCGTCGCCGAGCACCCCGGGCCCCGGTGGCGGTGGTTCTACCGGTGGTGCTACCGGAAGCGGCGGCGGCGGCGGCGGTGGCGGCATTGGCGGAGGTGGCGGAGGTGGCGGAGGTGCTACCGGTTTCTCCACCGGCGCCGCCGGGGCAGCCTCCTTCGGTCTCGGTACCGGATCTATCGGCGGCGGGTCAACCGGCGGTGGAGCCGGCGGCGGTGCCGCAGCTTCCGGGACCGGCTGGTCCAACAAGGGGCCCACTCGTCGGGGCCGAGGATGGCGCGACTGGCGTCGCGGCGATCCTACCCTCATCAAGGGCCTCTGGAAGTCAAAGGGTCCTCTAGGTAACGAATTTACGTCACTTTTCCGCCCGACGAAAGCTGCTTGTGATCTGTGTTGTCACGCTGTCACGCTTATGGATGGTGTTGCGTAATGGAATCTTAAGCGACGCTTTTAACGTTCGAAATTTGCCGAGGAGACTTTAACGAAGTCGTTAGAGTGATGCAAGTGGCATGATGTGTGGCTTCTCATTCGCGCTGTCGTTCAGTTTCCAGGCTTCTCATCTTTCCTTTATTTTTTCCTGTTTTAGCTTTTATAAAGATTTCCCAGAGACATGAAATTTGTAAGTGGCTAAGTTTCTTGCACATTATGGTTTTATTACATTCTCTGTGCGATCGTTTACTTAAAGATCATTTATAAAGGCTTGCTTTGTGTTATTTTTATATGAGCTATAATTGTATTTTGCATGAATTCTAATATATAACATTTTTTCACGTTTGCGACAACAAATTTTCAAACGTTGTGCACCTAGATGTATGCACGATATATACATATAGTATAAATGTCATTAATCTCAAATAATCTATGTCAATAGATATTTCGCTTGTAAAGATACATGTCATCATAAATCGTACTCGCGCAGATGACGGTGACATAACGCGGATGCAATTTATATTATATGCTCGTCGACTTCCGCATCAGTGTTCGCGCATCGATGTTCGTGGCCGCAATTTGTTGAGGAAATTTCTTTTCTTTTTTTTTTTATATCTCGCGGTGTAACAACATCTGCGACGAAATCTTATATCGCGATAGTTGAACCATAAAACACGACTGGCGGCGTGGCGTTGCAATTTTATGAAAGATAGTTTACCCGCCCGCGGTTACGTACACGCCTGAATGCTAATGCAAGAAAATTTTTCGTACATGTCGATAAAATAATCGAACATCTGAAGCGTAGTCAGCGTTCACGTGCATCAAGTCTTCTCGTTTTTAAAGTGGAACTCTCAGGTTTAGTCTTGTTATGCCGATGTATAGCGAGATATAACGCGTATCTCTCCCGTTCGAAGTTCAATTGTCACTGCCATGATTGTCGCACCGCGCGAATCTAATTACGTTATCGCATCGAAAGCTCGAACAGAATAGACGAGTTGTTTGGCAGATCGGACTAGAACCTAGTTTATTTACAGCGCTGTTTGACTCCGCCGGAGACTCTTTTTTATCGCTCTTTTATCGTAAATGAACGCGCGATGGCGATAAGCTTTGTTTTTCTGCTGCTGCAGTTGTTCTACCGTGGCAGTCATTCACTGGCATTGGTGTGAACCCAGAATGGGTATAGGGATAATAATGGCGACAGCTGTGAAAAATTCATGAAACGAACAAACGAAACGACGTCGTTTTGCTCACGCTCTCCGTTCGCTCGAGTCTGCGTTTTAAATTTCAAATTTAGTCCTAACCGCGAAGAGCTTCCTTCGCTTTGGAAATTTTGGATTTTCATTCTAGATTAAGGTTCTACCGAACCACAAACACATTTAAAGTTACTTCGAAAAAGAAAAGAATAGAAATTTGATATAATATTCATTTTTTATTGTCTGCTCGTAGCATTCGAATTTATGTTTTCTAAATATTACAATAATTGATTTATATGTCGGATTTGCAAGTCGCATGCCTTTCTTTTAGATGGCTTTTTGATATAGCATAGGAGTTTCAAGTTAATTAATCATTAAAAAGTACTCATAATGAAATTATAATGCATTAGAGACTTGAACATTTTAAAGCAAATTATTTTGCAATAAATTGATTCCTCCCTTTAGCGTTAGTAGAGAAACCAATATTTTACAGGCATACTTTATGATCGCACAAATTACAATTTGTACGTTGAAACCTAATTAATATTGAAATTTTGCTTTTATCAAATAAACGATGAGTTCACAATCCGTTGATCAAACAATCGATTAATCAAACGTCCGGTTAATTGAAACTGAAACTCCTAAATGTTGTTGATCGATGTACTATGACCATCATATATATATATATATATATATA